GATGATTGCTGTTATCGCTTATCTTTGTTTCCCTTCATGCGGAACGGGGAGGGGCGGAGTCGGGGGACAGCTGTGCAGTGGGAAAGTAGCTTGTTTGCCTTGCACTTTAGGGGTGTAGGACTCGAATCACAGTGTAGCGCAAACATTTTTTTATTAACGACTATATTTTTCTTGAGCACAGAATTTGCCTCACATTGTTCCAGCTCAACCACTCATAAAGCGAGTTTGCAAATCGATCACCAGCGAATTATGAACACAACGTGGAGTTTGGTGTAGCGATGCCAGAGCATGCGATATATGCGGCCATGATACTTTAAAGGGCTGATAGTGATGTCCGAAACCTCGTATCCCAAATTGACCATGCGACATTGCTTGTCGAGACATACGAAGAGAACATTTCATGACTGTGCGAGTGGTGGACAGCCGCATGTACAGCAGACCATAAACGAGATCAGAGTATGGGGGCGTAGAGCTGCGAAAAAGGTGCGTGAAAGATGGCAGATTTTGGAACCTGTTAAGCTGATTGGCTTTCGCGGAGCAGACTAAGATGACATAGTAAATTTGCAAGAAGAAGATTTAACTAATGAGGAAGTTAATTGAGTTTTCCCAAAGGAACCGCAAGATAACAATCCGCAAGCAATCCAGTACCATAAATAATAGATCACACAATAGAAATATCTTTTGAAATGTTCAGTTTAATCGAGAATGGGATTTCCTTATGAGAGAAGGTTGTCCAAACGTTAAAACCAGCGACAAGTATATTCAATTACTGAATGGTTTTTTGTGCCAATATAAAGAACTGAAACAATGACAAAAGCAAGACTTCTCAAATTCTCCTCGTTAACTTTGTTAGTTAATGACGTTTATCATGCATTCTTGAAAAATATCTATATTGCAATAGGTGATTTGTTCTTGATATTGATGAAGTACATTTTTGTCTCTAATGATGTGTAGTTATGCGGGGTGTTGGCTAGGTAGACGAGTCCAAAACTTTGGTCCCGGCAGTACATCCGTACTGCAGCATTGACTTTGAGAGAGAACTACATTTGATTTATGACTTTTTGAGGTTTTATATTTCGATGATGCACATTTGCTGATCTAGCCAACTATCAGACGTGTTAGGTGAGCAATTGATTCCGCGAAACTAAAGCGCCTGATAGCATGGTCGTATGCGTGGACCACACGATGAGGCCATGCTCTTCTCACTGTTAGTATTTTAACGACTGTTGCTAGTTTTTTGGTTGGTTGCAACGAAGCAGGGCGAGGTGAAATGTTTCCTCTAAGAAAATCGCAGTTAGTGAGAGAAATGCTTCGCCTCACTGCGGTTCAAGTCCAAGGCACACACGTCTTCCCTGTGCACCCTTACTTCGCTGTTATCAGAAAAAAGTCTCTGACGTAAATCAAAGAGCGGCATTGCATGAACCTCAGGCACAACCAGAGGTAAAGCTGAAATGACGGAACTTCTAGAATTGCCTACTTTCTGCACAGCTATCCATCCATCGCCGATGGTATTGTTTAACGTTTTAATTCAGCGCCTTCAAAGGAATCGATGCTAATGTCTAAAGACAGATACGTCGTTGCAAGATACCAGGCGTTGCCTCATTGTTCCGCAACACAACAGTGTTGGAAAGACGTCCATCGAGGCAATCGCAGTCACGGAGCATAATTGAGCTGCTTGTGCATCGTAGTGGTTTCCTTGCCCATCGAGTTTGGCAGGAAACTTGAACGGTGCACAGTAGAGCTGGTTTGACCAGTAACTGGTTCGGTGGGTGTCGTCGTGTGCCGACCAGTGCATTTTGTAACCGACATCCAGGCACATGAAACGAAAGTGTGCGGTTCTGAATGAAGCGAGCGTAACGTGAATGGCGACGCATGAAAGGTGCGCGAGGTGACCGAACGCATGAACAGGTGCCGTTTGACAAGCCTGTAAGATTCTTACGACGAAATTAAGTACCGTCTGATTAACCCTCGCTACTGATTGCGGATGAACTGCAATGATTGACATGCAGTCTAATCGACACGAGCTGTTCGTTTTTTTCGCTGACGGCTGGAAATTGTTTTGCGTCAAAACAAACGCAACCGTGCGAAGCAACGAGTCCATTAAGCCGTAAACAAATTTCAAACTCAGCACATTGTGCAGCGAAAAAGCCTCATCGCCAACGATTCGAAATCTTGCCAACTTCCAGTGGTACTCAATTGTTGTTCGTCGTACTGTTGTTCGTGGCAACCTCCAAATGAGGCGTGCGCTCGACGATCGCAAACAACGCGAACGAGTGACCTCGCATAACGAGTGATGTTTTTTCGTATCGGCACTGTGTTGCCAGACAAATCTCTGTGCATCGTATGTTCCGAATGAAATCTGACGATGTGACCACTTTTCAACAAAATGGAAACATATCACCTCCATTGAACCGCTTCTGCCTTTAGCCATCGCCCCTGTGACCGGCTTTCTCGGTGACAAGTGGGAACATTGCTTGGTGTATACATCTAGGGCATGCACTGTTAAGCCTATCACTTTACATTTACGGTACATAACGGAGTTAAGCAACATGAATAGATATCAAATGTCTTAGTATCACTGAGGATTACTGACTCAAAGCCGATTTATCCGAGATCGATCGAATGAAGCGACACCAAATGTTTTCGTGCTGAGCTTCACCCACTGCCATACATAATACCAGGGATACGTAATCCTCTTATCTCGATATGACCTGTGGTAAGTAGACGTCAGAATTTTCTGATAGAATTAAATCCTAGGCTACTGTTCGCATAAGCCGATGACCAGCAATCACCATAATGACAAAAGCATCGTTAGAAGAATTTTCGCTGAAGCAAAGCTAGTAGGTAAATGTGCGGACTATTTTGACACAATTGATCAAGTACAGATGAGGGCTAAGCACTGTTTGTGACGCTTATTGAAAAGAAAAACCTACAGAAAGTGTCATCAGCCTGACAAACCCTTTCACAAGTATGATTTCACCAGTCTGGGCTAGTTCATGATTTTCCAAAAATCAACGGCTTCGTCAGGCATTCTATTTTCATAGCTCATTTATAACGTTATAAGTTATTTATAACGGAATAATTGAGCAATTTCTCGAAAGAGTTTTCGGTTGTCGCTCCATAATTCACCAAAGGACAATTTCCTTGATGCAAGGTTAGGTTAGGACACCCAAGCGCAAAACAAAGGCCAGAAAATTTAGCGAGTAGCAGACCTGTTTCATTACCAACATCGGCAGCACCGTCAAAATTGAGAATGGACGAATGTCAGGCCAATAATTTTGGCACAACAATAAATTATTAGCAATTTAAGCACGAGTGATAGTTGGGTGTCACTCAGATCGCGAATTCAGATGTGACGTAAAGATTATTAACTACACCCTAACCTTGAATCACATTATATGGTGAAGAATATTCATTGTACAGTTGCTGTCTTCATGCCAGTATGGAAATTCAACTGAAAGTGACAGTGGATAGTTGCTCTCTGTCAAACAACGTTAAACAAAATCATCTTTCCATTAACACCTTTCGACAGATTCATGACAACATGCGGTTTTGAGAACCGCATCTAGATGCACAGACAAAACCTCTCGCCCTTTGACACTCACCGCTATAGTTCAGAAAAGATTTGTGATCATGATTGCTTCATCTTTGATAAATGATTGTCAGCCAAGCATAAATTCGGTCACAGTACATTCGAACTAGTTCACACGCTTTGGACTTGAATTTAGCAGGCTTTGCTATAACATTCATTTTTCGTTGAAAATTAGCCGAGCCTTCAGCCACAGCTCGATCAATGGCATGAAACCTTAGTTACGTTTCCTTCAGTCGGTATGATGCATATCCACCTTCCATCCATCTTCCATCGCCGCTTCTCCTTTCGGATCCCAGAGGCAGACGTGTCAGACAGTGCTTACAACGTTCCCGATCCTGT